GCACTGCAAGTAAGCATAGGCATGACAATCACATTTTGCTGAGCACTTTCAGGATTTGTTGTTGTTGTAACAAATCGAGCAGTAATTATTTGCTCAGCAAAGCCATCTTTCATGGCAATGGCGAACAGTAACACTGATCCTGAAACAATCGCAAGCAGTTAAAACACCGACAAAGTAAAACTTTCGAAATCCCAAAAAACACGATTAATTTAATTGATTCCAACACTCTTGGAGCTACGTTAATGCTCAGTTTTTTTGCACATTTGTATTTGAATTATCTGGACAAACATGCATGTGCACATGTAAATATTCACAGACAGGCGAACGGACACACACGCACACAAATATACGCACGCATATACACGAATACATAAATAAACACGGACACAAACATTCAAAGGTGGACAGAAACAGACTTATAGACACACACCCATTGACACATATCTGTAGACATACGCCTACAAACACAGTCACACTATAAAAACAGCACAAAAACACAAACAAAAACGCATGAAAAACACACAAACACACTCATAAACAGACACGCAAAAGACAAGCGCACGAACCAACACACAAATACATGTGAACACATACAGAGACCCATACAAAAACGCATGCAAACATCGTCTGCATAAACCAGAAATAAAAAAAAAAGAGGATAAATAACAAACAAATGTGAGTTGAGATCACTGATGAAGACGCGATATGCTGAAACGGGAATGGCAGAAACGACATGAATGCAAATCGAGGCTCGACGTCGAGGAACCGTGCGAATCCGGCACATTCTGGTCTATATACCTGCAACATCATTCATCCTGCTTCTACTTACTGCTGCTCATAGATCCAGGAAAAGCACTAACGCTCGGATTGCGGAGTAAATATTAAGTGCTGAGATAGCTGAAGCACAATTACAAACACTATTTCAGGAGTTTATATTAGCTAACAGTCAAGTATATTTTGGAAATATTAGAAAGTGAAATCTGTGGTGTATAAAAAGGAAAATAATAATTTCTTTATCCAAGGATTTTCAGCATTTTTTTACGGAGAAGCAGTAGAATGGCAAGTAAATTTTTCTACTGCGGTAGGAAGCACCGTAAAATAATCTGAATAACTGTAAGCTGCTGTAACTGCAGGTAATAAAAAAGTATTGGAAAATTTTTAAAATTTTGTGAGTTACTGTTTACTATAAACTACTTCAGATATGTAATGTGCAGCAGTATTTTTGAGCCAAAAACAGATCTTTAAACTGACAAAAAAAGTTCTTTTTTTGACAAAAATTGTGCCCACCTAATCCACCGAATATCCGGCGGAATGAAAGGAATAATATGTTTTGATATATAAAAATTA